CAACCATACCATTCGAGATAGGGGCACAGTTCTTTAGCCCCAGGCCTGTTGGAACAGCCAGGTTTTAAGGGCTATGCGGAAGGCCTGGAGGGTGGTGAGGGTTTGAATCTCCACGGGGAGTTCGTTCCAAAGGGCCGGAGCAGCCACAGAGAAGGCTCTCCTCCGGGTAGTCGCCAGTCGACACTGGCCGGCGGATGGAATTCGGAGGAGGCCTAATCTGTGGGATCTAATGGGTCTTGTGGAGGTAATTGGCAGCAGGCGGTCTCTCAAGTACCCAGGTCAAATACCATGAAGGGCTTTATAAGTGACGACGATGCTTGAGCAGGGGGTTGGACTAGAAGACCTCCAAGGTACCCCCCACCCACCCCCAACTCTGTTGTTCTGATTCTGAAAGATTTCTGAAGCGCAGGTATAAAATTCCCTGAGTGAGTCAATTACAGCAATTCGGGAAGGTGAGCCAATATTCCGGTGACGTTCTTCCCGGATAGCCAGAGGGGAGAATGGAGGCGTCCCCTGGAGCTTCCCACGTGAGCTGAACCAGCAGTGACACTGCAGCTCTTTACTCAGAGGAGCGCAAGCCACCGATTGCAACAAACCCAACCTTGGGACACTTTGTCCTCGCTGCTCTTATTCCCTACGCAAGGTTGGAAAAGCTGAGCCAGCTTAAAAACGTTCGATTGAACGTCACGCCGCCGGTTCAGTGGCCTCTGCCCGCCCGGATCAATACAGCCCCCTCCCAGTGGAGGTCACCAGTCAAAGGGAACGGACGAGCCACCTACCTCGGGGTCATTGGTATCCAGGGCTTCCATCACCATCTTGTTGTGAGAGGCCCAGAGGTCCCTGGTGGCCTGGTCTCCGCCGGCGTTTGTGCTGGCCATGGCAGCGGGAAGTGCTAGCAGCCTGCAAAAACTTGATTTTGTAAAAACAAAAAACACCAATGCTGCGTCTCGCAAAGTTATTTTGCAACGAAGAACAAAATCTGCATTCCGTTACCGCCCTCAAAAAGGAGTGTCTCTGTTTTGCATTTAGGCAATGATTTCAGGTGTGTGTATGTGTTTGTGTGTGTGGCTCTTGAAAGCAGAGTTATAAGATGGGAATCAATGCAAACCAGAGTTATGCCAGTGAGACGGGTGATGTATAAATTTGATGAATGAACGAACGAACCAGCCGTTCTAAACATCCAGGAAGGGAGGGGTGCAGATCTGCAGCCCATGTTGTGATGTTGTGGCTTGGTTCCCTAACCAGTGTTCCAGATTCACAAGGGGGTGCAGCTTGGTGCCTTCTGAATCTACACAGTTTGTAAAACCGTTAGATTTTGGCTAGAACAGATCTTTGGCCAACTTTTAAGATGGGTGAACTTCAACTCCCAGAATTCCCACGTGCCAGGAACTGAAGTCTGCACATCTTTTAAGTTGCTACGGTAGAGAGGAAAACTGGTTTAGAGGATTGCGTGGATTCATCACAGTGTTTGTGCTTTTAAGCCATCTTCTTTTTAGCATGTTGTGTGAATAAAGGACGGGGGTGGGGGGGGGTAGTGGAATAAAAAGGGAAGGAACCAGCCGAGTCTGGTTCTTGCTGGATAACGGCCCAACTAACAGCTGCAGAAAAAGAGTTCTGGAGATGCCTCCCAAGAGGGTGGGGGGTAGCAAGCGTCCCTAAGGCAGGGATGTCCCATGACAACTTTAAGACTTGTAGACTTCAACTCCCAGAATTCTGAAAATTGGAAGTCCAGAAGTCTTCGAGTTACCAAAATTAGACAGCCTTGTCCTGAGCGATGAGCTCCACAACCAGCCCATCAGCTGACTCCAATCCCTCCCTCCATCCAGGAGTTTCTGCCTAGACAAAGAAGGGCTGTCTTTACCACTTCCAAGTTATACATTAATTTTCTAAGAGGAGCAAAAGTCTGCAGGAAGCTCCCAGCCCTGTTGTAATTAGTGCTGAAATTCTGCCTGGCCTCGGATTCTTCTTTTAGCTTTCCCATTTCCAGGGCCCTGGATGGAAGGGACCCAGTCGGATGTGGAGGGCACCAAACTGCCAGGATGCACACACCTTTCTGTGCAAACTCCTGTTACTTCCCAGAGTTCACAGCCTACTCCTACCTGGCATCTCAGGAGCGAATCTGGATTTGTTGCATAGCTTCTAACTTTTGCGATGCTGAAAACTGACATTATGATCAGCAGCTTTACCAATTCCTCTCTTTCACCCTCCCTTATCACCTTATTCAGTTATTTAATCACATTTTGTATAACTGCCTCCCTCTCTCTGTTCTCTTGCCAGGTTTTTAAAATCCCCGCTGCACCCCTCTAACATCTGCGCACAGCAGGCAGATTGCATTCTCACGAACGAAGGCAAATTACACGTGTCCGAGGAGGAGGAGGATGTGAAATCGATCCCCGGGACCAGAGATCCATTCTATTAGATTGCTCATATATTGTAATAATATTCTGATGTATCTTTTCCAGGCAGGCTGACCCAGAGGCAGCGTCCCATAGCTGCCAACGATCTGCAACCGCCCGAGCTGGGAGTGACAGCCTGGCAGGGCTCCGGGGCTCTCGTTTTTTTGCAATGGGCTGCAAAGGCCGGGGAGGCAGGGGAGAGAAAGCGGGAGTGACCTGTTGAATTTCCGCCTGTTGTGCAGAGAAGCAGCCCTTCTCTGCACAACAGAGAAAGGGCGAGAGATCCTACAGGAAAGAAAAGGGGAAGGATTCTCCCCCGCCCCCCCCGCTTCCAACCCATAATACTTACTGGGAAGATCCTCGGTGCAACGGCGGACGCCCCCGCGAAAAAGAGGCGCCTCCCTGCGAACCCCGGGCTTAAATCCACGAGGCCCCGCGCGCTCGGGGGATGGAACGTTCGGCTCTTTCTGTCCCGCGCCGCAGCCAATCAGCGCGCTCGCCTGGCCCTCCCGGAGGATTCTATCGAGGTGCGTCACGGCCAATCAGGAGAAAGCGGCCCGGCCCGCCTCCCGCGCGCTCTTTTGCACGGGAGAGATTTTGCAAAGAGATGCGCGGATGGCGCAAGAGAATCCTCCGGGTTGAGATTTTTTTTAAAAACACTTTTTTTTTAATCCAGGGAGTTGAGATCCAGATTAAAAATCCAAGGAGGAAAAAATTCTGCCTGTATTCCTTATGCATTTGCCCCACCCGGAAGGCGAATTTTTAAAATCCACTTTTTTATTTGCAGAATTTTTATTCCTAGGCTCCATCCGCCCCCCCAGAAAAAGGATCTTCGGTGGGTTAACTGCAAATTCGAGCAGTAATTAAACCACAAAAGTCATGAGCTACTGGAACAGAAAGAGTGCGCTACTACGGCACTATTCAGTAAAATTTATGATTTTTCAACTTTGGAAAAGTTTTTGTGGACTTTTAACTCCCAGAATTCCCCACCCAACCTCTGGCTGGGGAGTTGAAATCCACATATCTTAAGTTGCCAGGTTTGTGATACGCTGGTGTGAATCCTTGCAATTGGGACAAATTTATCACGCCTTTCCCCGTTTTGCAGATTTGTTTTATCCTACTTTTTATTATTTTTATAAACAACTCAAGATGCAGGTGAAGCTGCGTAGCATTCCTTCCTCCTCCTATTTTTCCCCACAGCGACAATCCTGTGAGGTGGGCTGGGCTAAGAGAGAAAGAGGGCCTGGGGTTTCCCAGCCACCTAAAGTTTTCCCAGCCAGCTTTCATGCCTAAGCCAGGACCTATTAAGTATTAATAATAATTAATACTTAATAAAGCAGTTTCTTTCCCTCCCTGTAAGTGAAACCAGACAATCTAAGCAGGGCAGCCAGCCTCCCCCACCAATGACCCGCATTCCAATAATTCGCAGCTTGAATATATATATATATTTTAAAGGCTTAAAGTTCCATCAGTAACAGATTGAGGAAGGAGAGGTGGAATATATTAAATAAATCAAATTCCCCTAAAGTCACACTTATGGAAAGGAGAAGGAAGATCTTCAAGCCACCCTGAATCACCACTGGGACGATCCCTCTCTTCCAAAATGCGACACGGAGGGGGTAGCGATCCAGAATTCGATCCAGGAGAGGCGTCGGTTGGAAGAGGAGAAAAGAGGGGTGAGTTTTCCCATATATTTCCCCAGAGGATGGGAGAAATAGAGGAAAAAGGACAGATAGTCAGATAGTGGGAGGATTTGTGTCAGCACAGAGGAAAAGATGCACAGGGAAATGATTTTTTAAAAAAATCAAAGGGAGCAAGGGAAATCAATATAAGTATAATCTTTATTGTCATTGTACTTAAATACAACGAAATTGGTTAAGTTAACAATAAAATTAAAAAAGGAGTTTAAGCAGAAAAACATCCCAACAGGGGACAATGCTTGAAAATGCAAGCCACAATATTCCTAATTAAGAAAAGCAATTACTGATAATGCGTCGCTTAATATTGAAATAAAATTAATGCTCTAATTGCCGTTAGGCTAAATTTTGCTTCAATCCAAGTTTGGGGGGGCCGTTTCCTTCCTCTTGGATTGCTTTTCTTCAAGGAGAGACTGGACTGCCATCTCTCAGAAATGGTGCACAGGGAGAGGGGTTGGACTAGATGACCTACAAGGTTCCTTCCAACTCTGTTATTCTTCATAATTTTTAAACCATTTTTGGCAACCTCCAATGAGTTGTGGCTAAGACGCTAAGCTTGTTGGCAGTTCGAATCCCTAGCGCTGCAAAACAGAGTGAGCTCCCATTACTTGTCCCATCTTCTGCCAACCTAGCAGTTCGAAAGCAGGTAAAAAATGCAAGTAGAAAAATAGGAACCACCTTTGGTGGGAAGGGAAGAGCGTTCCGTGCGCCTTTGGCGTTGAGTCATGCTGGCCACATGACCACGGAGACGTCTTTGGACAGTGCTGGCTCTTTGGCTTTGAAACAGAGATGAATACCGCCCCCTAGAGTCAGGAACGACTAGCACATACGTATGTGCGAGGGAAACCTTTACATTTACACAATGAGATGTGGTTTATCTGAGACGTTTCTCTCATTTCAGGATTCTCTCTTCCGGATGGAAAACTTCTCCCTCTCGCCCTTCCTGACCCCTCCCACTCCGGGGCCTGAGAAGTTCACCCCTCCAGCCCCCCCGGACCCTTCCCAGGGCATCGAAAGGACCCTGTATCTCCTCTCCATCGTGGTCTACGGGGTGGCCTGTCTGCTGGGGGTGACCGGGAACGGCCTGGTCATCTGGATCGCCGGCTTCAAGATGGAGAAGACGGTCAACGTGGTTTGGTTCCTCAACCTGGCGCTGGCCGACTTCGTCTTCACCTTCTTCCTGCCCCTGAGCATCGCCTACACGGCCCTGGGCTTCCACTGGCCCTTCGGACGCTTCCTCTGCAAGCTCAACAGCAGCCTGGCCTTCCTCAACATGTTCGCCAGCGTCTTCCTCTTGACCGTCATCAGCCTGGACCGCTGCCTCTTGGTGGTCCTACCGGTGTGGTCCAGGAATCACCGGACGCCTCGGCTGGCCTGGGCCATCGCCCTGGTGACCTGGGGGGCCGCCTTGCTCATCAGCTCCCCGTATTTCGTCTTCCGGGACACGGCCCTGAATGCGAGGAACGCCACCAGCTGCTACAACAACTTTGCCCTCTCCAGCAACTACACCAGCCAGAGGAGCCGGGACCTGTGGCGGAAAAGGCACAGGGCCATGATCCTGGCCAGGTTCGTCTTCGGCTTCCTGCTGCCCTTCACGGTGATCGCCGTCTGCCACGCCGTGGTGGCTTTCCAGCTGCAGCGCAGGCGCCTGGCCAAGTCTCCCAAGCCTTTGCGGATCATCGCGGCCGTGACCGCCTCCTTCTTCCTCTGTTACTCGCCCTACCACGTCCTCTCCCTCTTGGAGTTGTCCAAGATGTCCGGCAGCCCAGCGGTCAAGAGAGTGCTGCACCTGGGCGTCCCGCTGGCATCCAGCCTGGCCTTCTTCAACAGCTGCCTCAACCCGCTTCTCTATGTCTTCGTGGGGCAGAAGAGCTTCCGGCGGTCCGTGTGGGGGGCTTTCGAGGGGGCCTTTGGGGAGGAGGCCCTCCTGTCCTTATCCAGCAAGAGGAAGTCCAGGGCCGTCTCCCAAACGGAGATCCGGATGGCTTAGCTGGGGAAGCAGGTTTCAGAGGGGATGAAAAAGGAAGCCCCCCCTTAAGTGTTGTATAAGGTATAAATATGGCAGTGTTTCTCAACCTTGGCAACTTGAAGATGTCCGGACTTCAACTCCCAGAATTCCCCAGCCAGCATTCGCTGGCTGGGGAATTCTGGGAGTTGAAGTCCGGACATCTTCAAGTTGCCAAGGTTGAGAAACACTGAAATATGGTGTATGGAGAGCGGAAGAGACAATAACTGGTTTTTTTTCCTTCTTTGGTAGTTGATGGTAAGATGAATTGATGTAATTACTTAATAAAACAACATGATATTGACTACGTAATAGTATACATGTGATTTATATGCTATGAAAAATGGAAAATAAAAAATTTTCTATCGCAGAAAAGAAAGTCAGGCTGAAAAAAAAAATTGAAAAAAAAAATTAAAAGACGAAAAAGGAAGCCCCCCCCCCCCGCCCCGCTTAATGCTGCACTTCTCTGCTACAGTTTCCACCCAACTGGACCCAGCTGTTCTTGGGGGTCAAAGGTTTGAACTGACCAAGAGGCCGGCTCCTGTCCAGGGGTGGGTGGGGGGGGGGGCTTCCTTCCTTCTGCGCATGCCCAGGAAACATTTCTTTGTGCAGGTGCTGGTGGCAATGAAGTTACTTTGCAGCCGTCTTGTGTAGTGCAATTGTTGTGATGTCCCCCCACCCCGTCCTACTAGCAAGACAGGATTTCCAGGAACCCCCCCCCCCTTGCCTGAGCAAAGCCCCCAACCTCAGCAGGGCAGGGAAAGCGGGGCAGCCCCTAAGCTGCCAATCCCCCTTGCGAGAAGAGTTTTGCATCCCTTTGGGGGTGGGCTTCAACGGCATGTTGACCTGGGGAGGGGGGGTCCCTCTGTGGATGCAAGCGCCAGGCTTACCCCAAGCCGGGGGGGGGGAGGGTCTTTTGGGGGGGTTGTACAGCTTTCCCTGCACCTCAAACTCCCTTTTTCCTGGCTGAAGCCCCCCCTCCTTCCTCAACACAACCACCCCGCGAGGTAGACCGCCGCTCGCTGCCTCCGCAGCGCTGCAGACGCGGCCGCTTTAAGGCTGGTGGAGTTTGCGGACCCTGAAGGCAGGAGCGGGCGGGGCCAGCCGCCGTCCCCGCCCCCGCGGGCTGGGATTGGCGGAGGCTGGCGAGGGGCGGAGCCTGAGCAGCCCCGCCCAGCCGCCATTTTGCCGCCGCCGCGCCAGCCCCGCCACGGGGTGCAGGTGGGTGGTGGTCGTCGCGGGGGTGCGACCCCCCCCCTCCGCCCTGGGAGGGGGTCTCCAGGCGTGGGGTGGGGGGGAGAGTGGAGCCAGGCAGGGCGGACACGGAGGATGCACGTATGAATGCGTCCGCGCCGCCCCCTTCCCCCCCCACGGGCAAGAGGGGGGGGCTTGAATTAGGGGGAGGGGTCTTTGCAATGGGAGGGGGATGAAGAATGGGGGGGCCGTCCCTTTCAGCCCCCTATTGACCTTATTGGAGTCTGGGCTGGGCTAATTCTCATAGGAAGCATTAATTCTCTTTATTCCTGGTCTTGAAGGGTGGGGGGGCTCTGTGCTGCCC